CTCATCATCGAGTCCAGTGCCTCCAAAGGGGTTGATAGTGATAGTTCTCAAATGTACACCTTACTCACATCCGACGGACCGGTTCCACTTTCCCATGCCAGTAGTTTTTGCAAGGGTGACAGGGTACCCCGAGAAGGGCCACTCTTCAACGTGTCTTAGCCGCAGCATGTTGTGGTGCAACAAAGCTATATCATGCTGGCTCGGTGAGAGAGTGTAGATGAGCAGGTATGACTCATGACGTGACTCACTCCCGCCCTTGCGTGAGAAGAGAACGATTTTTCCAACCTTTTGTCATTTTCTAGTACGCCTTTACTATTGTTTTAAAGGCAGTGGGCACGATTGCTAGAGGCGGCCTGTTGTTGCCTGTGTTGTTGGAAGCGCTACGAGAGGGCGTTCGGGCACACCCACTCAGTCCTTCCACCAATAACGGTGGCGACAACCGCCCGCCTCCAGCAGTTGTGCCCACTACCTTTTAGTACGAAGAGGGACACTGGACGGATTCAAGAAACAATTCGAATCTTTATCAAGAATTGAACGCGATAACAGTCACACTACTATTCGAGCAGAGAACAAGGCACTGAACGGATAGGGTTTTCTAACCCCTTATCAAGAATCCAGTCAAGGTGATCCCCTCCATTCCATCTAATAAATACGTATCAACCTGTATTGCGCTGTTTTGGTGAGATCACAAAGTCAAACATTACATGCATTACTACTCGGTCCATAGATGCAGTAGGCGGCGCAAAAAAATTGGAACAAGCCAGAAGTCGCGATCTTTTAATAGGTTTGGATACAATTTCTCGAATGTACATTGAACTTTGTTTGCTCAAACAGCGTACACCTTTTGCCACTCTAAAAAATAAGAAATCTTGATTAGAGTTGGTTACAGAGACAGAATTTTTGAGATTATTGCGATACGGCATGCCGCTGCTTCTCTGGATATTGGTTGCAATCCATCGGAAAAAGTCTGAATGTTCCTTCGTTTTTCCATTTCTTTTTTTACAACTCTCGAGAAACCTATGTTGTTCCCAGAGAACTCTGAAAACCGGTCCAATATCAGAGTGGCAGCGGCATGCCGCATCGCATAATCTTCAAAATTCTGTCCCGGTAACGAATTTAATCAACCAACTTTATTTTTAGAATAGCATTTTAAGGCGTACTTGGTTTCAGCAAACAAAGTTTTCATGTGCAATTTAAGAATTGTATGTAAAACTATTGAAAAGCGCGCGACTTGGGCTTGTTCCAAGTTTTTTTTGCCGAAACTGTATATCCCCATGAGGGTCGAGGCATCTGACAATGAGAAGCGTGCCGGTGCGACGCGGCTAATTAATTAATAATTTGCATGGCCGACAGATTTGCAGTCCATAGTCTAATGGAAGCCTACTTGGGTAAAGGCACGGTCGACGTTGATGGTATGGGTGGTAAGGTCCTTCACTGCGCTTCGGCGCGCCCCAGTTTTTCGCCGTCTCAGTAGGGGCGCGTCGGACACAGTGGTGGGCCTGACTCCGCCCACACAATCAGCGTAGACGCGATGCTAATATGCAGCCTAGGTGAAAGTGTCGTAACCCGAACGCACTTATACAGATAACGCCACTATTTGAGAGATGTCAGTGACTAGGTCAGAAACAAAGGGTAAAGGACAACAATCATCACCTGGTTTTATACCAACTATTTACAATTTCGTCTTCTTCATTGAACCATGCTATGTAGCCGCAGGTAGCTTTTCCTCTGAGCCCGAATAGATCTACTCGATCACATCGGTCACCGTAGATGTCAGACGAATTTTGGGCCTGAAACGTGTCTTATCATCGTAATAATCTGAACAAAGCATTCAAAAGACATAGTCCATCGTCCAGGCGAAAACCTGGGTGGAGACAAACGAATCTTCGGCCTTGCTCACTGGTGCGCCTTTCCTTGTATTATGTTGAAGAAGGAAACATGATAGGAATGGGACAATAGTTGGGTATCTCTGCTCATAGAATCAGTGTGGGCTGTACCTCCTAGACAAGCTCAATAATCAGAGGCTCAGCACCAAATCGGGCTCAAGCATGCGCCGCACACTTAGCTTGCATCCAAAGCTTGTGATTCAATACGGGCTGGCCTTTGGCAATAAGTCTTTTCCATGCCTTGATGTGAGCCACTTTCCTTTGAATTCTATTAGGCCTTATGGTTAATCGGCGATCCTAAGCGGGTGCTCAGCTGTACAAATAAACTGAATAATCATGCCAATCTCGATCGACACCACACCAGGCGGCCTCCGTGGAAAATCAGCTGAACTGAATAACAAACGAACCTTTAGCGTGTAGTGGTTGATCGAACAATCAATAGAACCACATTTCCCGATGTTATCATAACGGCAGTAGATGTTGTGGGCGGTGTTTAGCTCCATCCATCTGACGAGCAGACCATGTACAGTCGTAGGATCCCGAAACTGAAACACATTTAGGCTTTAGCAGCGGGAATTATGAAATCGATCAGTTTTCTTAAGGCTAGCGTCCGCGGTTCAGTTGAGATTTTCCTCCCCCTTCGTGAGCAGGTAGTTAGGTCCGCTGAGGCAACAACTACACCACTTTCGCGGCGCAAAAACGCGTGAGGAGAGCAACGATGCTGTCGTTCTTATCATTGACCCAACCTACAATCATTGGCACCGCCCACCATTCATTTCTAATGGTTGCTGGCGGGGTGGGGTGATGTGCGGTTGTTCAGCTGCTGCATCTCTCCACGTCGAGTGGTGAGAGTGAGGTGATAAGGGGAAAACAGCTGATATCAACAAGTGAGAACTCGTGCAAATCGCGACTTTCTTACGCCTTGAGCAACGTACAACCTCAATTAAGCAAGCGGTTCTACATAGAGCCTTCCCTGATTTCTTTCTGATTTTTCTTCACTAAGGGGTTACTTGCTGCATTGTTATAACTATCTGAGCCGCATAGCTCATCAAATTTGAATGCGGGCTCAGCCTTTAAGATCTGTGAGCTTGCTGAGCAGTACGAGGCAATCAGGAAGACTAGCCTGTCAGCGAGATCACCCTACCAACATGCCTCAATGCTGACCTCCTTCATTCTCAGAATCCATCTCTACCTACCTCCTTAGCTCCTTGAAGGGACGCCCCGCCGCGATGCACAGGCGCCTTTGTAGGACATGGTACTCCTGCCCCCAAACATGGAGGAGACTTCTTTCGTTTTTCACAGCTCAGCAATACATGAGGAAAGCGCATCCAGCTCGCGACAAGGTCGTGGCTACGCTTACTGACCGCGGCACGCCTTTACTTTCGACTGCGTCGTGATGGTGCGATTGTTCCGCTACTGTCCTCCTCCATTTTAAACGGTGAAATCGAGATGATTAGGAGAAAGAGCTGCCTCCAGCAAGTGAACACTCGTCCGACAACGCCCTCTCTTCGCCTTATGCACGGGTGCGGTTCAGGATGAGGTTCTATATAGACCGTCCGAATGAGGTTTCCTGCCTTTTTCTTCACTTGTAATTATTACCATGTTCTGTCAATAGTATTTGAGGCGCATAAGTCACCACTTTTGAACCTGGGAAGTACATTCAGCACAGTTCCCCCGTATGAGCTTGTCTCATCAGACGAGGTTGGGAAGGGAAGAGACCGTGCACAGCATATGACACGATCTTCACTCTAATACTGAACTTTTCATATCTTGTCACAGATGAAACTCTTCTCAGCGAACCCATCACGACCCTTACCTGGAAATACTATGTACGACCCCTCGACCACGCCGTATTCTGCACCTCGCAAGCACTTCAACGCTACTCCACTGAAGAACCGAAGAACGAACGACTTCTGCTGCTGTTACATAGAAAAAGTGACTTATAGAGTCCACTTTGTACCTAATACCGAACTGCCTACCATCCATTTGCCGACCCACTACTCTCGTTCAATATTGGATTCTTCAAACGTCCTTTTTGGCAGGCGAATAAGAAAGTTATGGGTATAGCAGAGACCAATCGGATGTGCCTAGAGGACCAATTGCTTTGAACTCTTTACTATGACAACTCCGCTGCTGACAACGACCAGTTCTTGATTTCTGTTGGGTTTCCTGCTCGACGTTAGCATTCAAATAGACGCTGGGGTTTATGCGCGAGTAGTTTCTTCTCATAATGCTCGTCTTCCTCATAACCATTTTATGTCGCGATCTCATTGATCAATGGTGACTGAGTCATACTCGTTGATTGTAAGTTCATACCGTCTTCAAAAAAGTGGCAGTCGATGACGTTACAACTTGTACAAGAGTCTCTTTCCATCAATACTTTTTACCTAGGGCTATTAGGTTGTTCGAAAAAGTAATGCGACACTTTGACCAAATTTTTCGGACTAAATTTTCCGTCACTAAAAGACATCTCCAATCTACAAGGTAACCGCAGTTGATGACTAGGACTAGTGCCCTTCTTTTGCAGCAGCTTCTCATTTCCATTCTCATAGAAACGTATCGGCAACTATGATGATAAAAGGGGTGGACGTCATTCTCGAAGTTGAGGTTGATTTTCGGAACTTGTTTTGCTTTGGTGTAGGATTGCGTATAAGTGACTCAAAGGAGGTGGCTAAATCAGAGCTGCTAACCTTTGCTCAAATCAACCTGGGTACGGTCCATTTCTCTGATCGATAATCATGACTCTTTTGCTGTAGCCTGATCCCCTTCGACCGATGGCGGTGGCGCCTACAGAACTCGTAATAATGGGAAAGGTCGAAAATACCCCAAATCTCTAAGTGGCTTTAAGCTTTGAAAACTTGTCACAAAGTCATGATATACCCATGAGCAGAAACCCCAGAGGACAGTCTCCACTAATCAGGGATAAAAACATACAAAATGATTTTTCGGTCTTTCCTAGGAACAAGTCAATCAAAAGTGTCGCAGGTTAGCTTTTTCGAACAACCTAAATACATCACAGTATATTCGTTCGGCAAATGAAGAAAGTAACAAACTTGCAGCAGAAACGCTTATAGAAATAGCTTCCGAGGATTGTCGAACACGGCTTAAAGCAGACTATCGTTCAGGCAACGCAAAAACCGCTAAAACCAACATGTTGAAACATCTGGAACAATATGTCAGGCTATAGCGTTGCTTAAACGGCGGAATAATAATGCTTAGCATGCTTAGCCTTATGTTCGGCGAATCACAAAAAAGTCATCAATATCGACTTCAAACTAACCGTCCATTATGCATACGAATGAAGTCGTATTCGGAGGGGCATGGCCAGTTGCATAAAGGGGCCGTGCCGAACCATGTACAGCCTCCTTCAGACTGCGATGGATGGAAATTCGTCAGCTCTGATACAGTTCGAGCTGTCATTCCTGAATGTTGCATGGAGTTAGTTTTAGTCCATAACGTGTGATCTTTGGCCCAGGACGGCGGTTGCGGTTCTAGCGTGATAAGAATACATTAGCTGATCATTATTCCTAACCCTAAACGTTAGGGGACATGCCCCAGGGATGGTAAGTTGACCCAGGAATGAAATTGAACTTTCACATATCAATGTGAAAACATACCGATCATTCCCGTGACCACGGCAGTGGCAATCGGGCCAGAAACGAGTCCACCATCGCGTTTCTTCCGCTGTGGTGAATGTCTCGTTGACGAGTCCAATGGCATCGTAATCACGTTCCACTTATGGTAGTTGTGCGAGAACTTCTCGGCGGTATAGTTGGCAATTCGTGCTCGCATCTCCTGTTCATCACTCCAATTTGAAGGGCCTTCAGGGAGCTCTAGCACTGAAAAGGTATTATACCTGATTTGATACAGTATTAGGTGCAGAGCGGCTTGGTTGGAGCACCTAGTGGCACTCAGGTGGTTTGTACAAACCTAGCTGACCATGGTATAACTACTGTTCCTTTAAATGTTGCTTGTTGTTGTATCATTCGACGTTATTCGGCTAGGAGGAGGGCATTTTGCACTTTCGACTAGATCCCTTTGTTAGTTCATTTTGAGGTTTCACCTTGGTGAGACATGTAAACTCTTGTGAAGTTCGAATGGTGCAAAGAGCGCTACTTTGGTCGCAGAACTTTACAGGTCTTCACAAGGTGATCTGTACAAACCTAGCTGACCATGGTATAACTAAGTTTTCTTTGAAACTTGCTTTGTTGTTATATCATGCCTGAGCAACTAAAAAATGCCCCCTCCTAGCCGAATAACTCCGAATGATATAACAAAAGCAACTTTAAAAGGAAAAGTATTTTATACCCAGCGGTTTGGCTAAATCATACAAATGGTTAACATGGCAGTCAGAAAAGCCGTCATTTCACGAGGCCGCGAAGTTCAGAACAATTGTTCCAACACGGCACTCAAAGACCTTGTGTACTTATGGTCACAGTTGAAATTTCTCATATATATAGTTTGAAAGTCCCATTGTAAAGAAGTCTCCGTGAGCTCACATTTGAGTAGGCCACGAACGCTTAAAATAAATATCGATCCTGAAGACTCATTTTAGGTGATTTGTTCGCCCTCGGCCATAGTAATTGTGCGCAACGAAATGTCAAGCTTCGTTTGAGGCTAAAACACTGTTCGCTGATAAAATCTTCTGGATGTGTCATGCCATCCGCATTTGTATCTCTTTCGCCTAAGCATTATGAAGGCGAGTTGACCTGTGCAATGAATATTGTATGTGTCAAACCTTCTGTATTTATCATTGTGGTACTAACAAGTAGCCCCCGTAGGATCCCTAGGCTAGCTTGGTCACAGAAAGAGTCAGTTTGAGATCTGATGCGCGGTCGAGGCAACCTACTCCGCCTTGTTTCTACGGCTACCGTTCGCCCCACTTGGTCAAAAGCAGTTAAAGGATAAAGGATAAAGTCTTCGCCGTTGATCAATCCCTTTGTGGGATGCGGCACGCATTCTACTTCCATTCAGAATCGTAGTGGCTTATTGAATGCGATGTGGCCTATACAATGACTTGCGGTGGCCAGCCGATGTACAAGTCAGTGTTTTATCCTCCCAGACGAATCTGGTACCAATTCACCGTCCCCGGAGGGTAGAAGGCTTGGTTGGCCTGGGCGGGAGTCGACCCGGGATTCGAACCCGGACCGCGCGAATGGTGAGCGCACCCCAACTTGTCACTACACCAATCTCCGCTGCCTGCGATATACATTAGTGCCAGAAAATTGTGTTTCTACTCACAATCTGAGACTCTATATTCCTCTCTCCAGCTTTGAGATATAACAGCTGTTTCCGGGGAGGAAAATCGAGCGCTACAAAGGATATGTGGTGTTCATTGGTGTAATAGTAAGGCTATATGTTATTGCTAGGATTCAGAAATTATCAAGGACTTAGGCTCACGATCTCCAACCAACCAAATATACTTGAGACGCTTTCCACGATAAACGAATTAAGAAAGGTGTGGGCGGAGTCCTGAACACTGTGATCTCGTCATTGACTCAACGAGGATGCGCCAAGGAAAAATCAGAATGGTTGTGATTCGCTGCCTTTATCTGAGCCAATCCGCTAGTCGCAGAATAGGTTGGAGAGTAGGTTGGCTTGAAAGATTTTGTCGATGAAAGGATAAAAATGAATTTGCAAGCACTCAACGAACAGCGAGTGGAGAAGAGTGATAAGAAACTATCGGAACCCTCCCTTGACAGCTTCCTTTCATTTGATTCTGTGAGTTTGCGAGCTTCCGGCATGAAGAGATTGAGTGCTTAAAAGAGAAACCGACGGAGGCAGATTTTTGGAAATTTTTCTTTCAAGTCAAAATTGTTACGGTTTCTTCACGGTCATAAGAGGAAAAGTCACTGCGGCCACCTGTTGTTCACGGTGGCTCTATACATTCGGGTTTTGATCAGCTTGGGACATTCAAATCAGCAAGTGTTAGTTTTGGTAGTAAATGGGGATTGTCAAATGTTTGGAGTCGGAGAGAAAACAGGTTTGCTTGACCTGGACTGATCGGAGTCATTGAGATAGGCACTTTTCTCAATTTTCTGCCCCACGATTGCTGGAGGCGGGTGGTTGTTGCCAACGTCATTGGTGCGAGGGAGCGTTTGACCACACCAGACTCAGCCCTTCCACCAATAACGTTGGTGACAGCCGCCCGCCTCCAGCCATCGTGCCCACTCCTTTAGAACATCGAAGAGACACAAAGGTCAATGCTGAAATGTGGCGGAAAATGCGAGAGGACACGCAATTCATCAGAAGTATGAGCATAAGCTAAGATTCTGCTTCAGCTTACATTTAATGACTTATTACTTTTATTAGCGCACTTAGGAGTAAGTAAATAAGTAAAAAGCTGAATCGCTAAAAGGAGAGACACTATCCAAAAAGTGTTTAAGTTACAGTGTGACCTAGATAGCTGTTTGGTAGGTGTCCTTCGTACACAAAATAGGAACTAAAGCACCTACAACTAAGATGCTGATTGCATGAAGAGACAAGTTGTAGGGGCAAAACGAGTTGGAGTTAAAGAGCTGTTCAGCATCGGAAAGGGATTTCGCGCCATCACTAGTTTCCTTTGCTACTTGTTAAATTACTCGCTTTACGTGAGACCTATAGACTCTAGTCAACTGTGGATGAAGCTTACGCTGCTGCATAGCTTTACAGGAATTCACACGTCTCCACAGGAGGCATCGGAAAGCAATCGATAGGGGAACAGCCGAAACGCGAAGAGGAACTCGTCCGAAATTCCTCCCCTTCGGACGTAAACTTGTCTGGCGCCGTGCAGTACAAATGCCTCCTTGGAGGGTTCTGATCTTTTCCCTTCTCCTTATACTCAATTTTCCGCTATAGAGCCCTTTAGAACCAAGTACCAAATTATCGTGCCTATTTTTTCAGAGAACCACTGCGAAGGGCTGGTGTAAAAAGATGATAGATGGATGTTCTGTCTTCTGCTGCGAACATGAGGCACGTCATGATGTGCTGACAAGCACTGGAGTTAATCGATAGAATGTTGATATTTCGCAGTTGATTTTTCGTAGCTGTCGCAACATGGATAATATTCGCTGGTGGAACCACAGGGGTATCACATGGAATAAACTTAGGAAATCGCCCAATAATGTAATCTATCGGAAGAGTTGCGCTATGATTCCTGATCACCAGCTCCACTCTCTCATCGGAACGGATAGCGAAAGCGTGGGAGAAGGGGCTGGCATGGGCTTCAAAGGGAACACGAGCCACTTCCCGCAGTCCAGTTCTCTTATTTCGAAGTTTAAGGCAGTTCCTGAACCACAGTTCCACCTGATGCCAGTACCCAAAAACCCTCTGCATAAAGTCGACTTTTTTTCCTATCAAATTTGTTCCTTTTTTGAACAGCAAGGCCGTAGAAGGTCAACGGTGCCGAAAACCTATCGATTTCAGCTCCGTTAGCATCCTTGACCTTCAGTATGAACTTCGCCATTAAGTGCACAAAAACACTGCTTGCCGTAAATTTCACGATCGGAAACCTGCGCCAAATTTCTTGAGCAACTGTTGCACACACCGCTAAACTCAAGCGCCACAACAACGATTGGAACGCGAATAGGAAGAGACGTTAGACTGAAAACTTAGTGGGCTGATCGCTTCTCGGTTTCACGCGGTTCAGTCATCATATAACAGGGCCACCACAATTACGCGGCCACAGCATCAGAATTGGTTGGAAGGGCGGTGTCTGGCCCCCTCCCCTCCAGAAAAAAAGAACTTTCCACTTCTGGTACGACTGGCTGCCGTCAATGGTTACACCATCCCTACAAAGACTATTCCCTTCAATTCCGCTGTGCCAAAGCTGGGAAGTGTGTAGCCAGCGCATGAGCGGACAAAAAATCAGCCATCAGAAAAAATCCCTATTTCAGGCCAGATACGAGCGCCTTGTTCTTGGCGACAAAAATACCGCGTCCTTAGGATGATTTGCACTGAAGGGCGATGCTTCTTCGCTGTGCCCTATTAACAGCTGAAGGCAGGTAGAGAAAAAATGGAAAAGAAATAAAAACTAGAATATAAAAAATTGAAAATGAAGACGACTTCGCCAACAATGAAAATCCCACCGCTCTTTCAAGCAGGCGAAGTAGTGGTAGGCACCTGAGCAAAGTTGACACCATTCTTTTAATCGGGGCACGTCCTGCCGCTGGGGGAAAACCGTACAGAATGCGACTCCCTCACCCTCCTCCCCCAAGAATTGCTCTTCAGGTACAACTTCCTTCAACATCCTACCTCCCCATTTTCTGGATTCTCCCTCCTTTTGACCACATTTCCAAAGTTTTTCCTCGGCAAATTTTCTAGGTCTCCCTTAAAGAAGAAATGCTATCGAGCAGGGCGAGAGGGTGTAGCGCATGCAAAACGGGAAACACCGAGAAAAGTCAGCAACCGAAAACATCCTCAGGGGGGCAAATACGATCCTCTCGCTGGGGATTCCCAGCGCCAAGTGAGTTCTATTACGGCATTTGCTATGGTTCGTGCGCTACCGTTCTAGTTAAACTGTGATAAATAGCATGGAAGGTTTCAGAGAAGGAGAATAATTGAATTATCTTTGCTGATGTTTTAGGCAGCGTTCACACTAGGACAGATATTGGTTTTGCATTTCTTCAATTTGAAGAGATGTGGGATCGTCAGGGTCCGTCCTGCCGTTGGGGAAAAGTTTTGCAAAACACAAACACCTTCTCCCCTTCTCCCAAGAAAATCCCTTTCTTTGAGATGACTTCTCTTTTGCCATCGTTCCTACCGTCTTCCTAAGTCTCCCTAGATTTCCACCACTTTTCCAGAGTTTTTTTCGAAAATTTCTCCATGTCTTGCTCAAAAATTTGTGGGCGAATTTGCGAGGTGGTATACAGCTCACTTGGAACAGGAGAAAGCCGGGAAAGGCTCATAACCGAAAACATGTAATACGGCTCCCCTTCCCTACCTTCCCCCTCCCCCCCGCGTCCAGCGATCAGACACGACCCACTTCGCTGGGATGCTTGGGGATCGT